TCACCCCCTCGGGTCAGCTCCCCGTCCCCGCTTCGTCACCCCCTCGGGTCAGTTCCGCGTCCCCACTTCGTCACCCTCCCCCAGGCCGGTGCTGCGTCGCCCCCAATTTCACCCACGCCGGATCGTCCCGCGTTCCTCCAGGTCCCCCCTCCCTCCCCGGCAGTTCCGAGTCCCCAGCACCACACCCCGCGGGTCGGTTCCGCGTCCCCTCAGTGTCACCCGCTCCCGGAGTGAGTTCCGCGTTACCCCGGTGTCACCGTCGCGCTGCTCAGTTTCTCGGCGCCCCCACCCGGCCTCCAGGGGTGCGTGCCGCTCGGACCGGGCCCGCCGCTGCTGCGGGGCAGCCCACGGAGAAGGCATGTGAGGCCTGACGTCTGCCCCCGTCCTCCTTGGGGTCCTCTTATCCCAAGTCTGGAACTTGTTCCTTTGTCAGACGTTTCTTTTGAAACTCAGTACATTAGCTCCCACTAAAAAAAGCCGTAGCTTTACAAGATGAAGACACACCATCCAGTCTTACTAAGGAATTGGAAGATGAGTATGTGTTTTGTGAAAGGGCTTGTGGGTCATCACAGTAACCCAGCAACCAAAAGGACTCATGCTGAAACATCCCATGCTTCGCCTGACCTTGAAGCACAGTGGTGCCCAGACGGCTGCTCAGAGAACGGCTTCAGGTTAAGCCTTGTCCATTATTAATTCATCTAAAGATCTTGAGCAAAGCCTATAGTCTGTTTTTCAGTTTCCCAACTGTGCTAATGGATAGCAAAATGCAAAGTTGGAACATAGGGGACACCAGGGTGGCTGCAACTTACCCCACAGCTGACCCAGTGCACCCAGCACTAGAATGGCAGAGCAAGGCATAACCCAGGGCCTGCACCACCCTGTAGGAGCTGTTGGACTGGGTCAGGTATCTTAACCTCACTTGCAGGCATAACCTGTCCAACTCCTGCTCACCTCCTCTTTCCAGCAGTTCCACAAAGGGGATCTGTTACTGGTTCACTTTGCAAATGCAGCAGTGGAACCTGGGCCAGACGGTGGAACTGGGATTCTGCCCAGCTCTGTGCGACTCTAACTCCCATGCTCTTAAGCCCTCCCCCAGCCACTCCATTCCGGCCACTGGTGTCAGACAGCAGGATGTCAGAGACCTGCACAGAAATCCACAAACTTCTCTTCCTGGAGTCACCTCCCTGGGAGTTCTTACAGCACTTTCTGAAACTCTCACCCTCACTTAAGGAATGGAGGAGTAAGAAAGGGAAACTTTCAATTCTAAAAGATTCTACAAAAGAACCTAAGGGCAATGCTCCATTATTAGCAGCAGCAGGAGAATATCTGACAAACACGTGTTCACCTTCCAGGGTAGTCTGCCCCTCGCTTGTTGCACAGCTCCTGTTGTTGGGGTTGTGGGTTTTCTTCCTTTTCTTTTTCCCTTTTAAACTCAGTCATCAGGCTACCCTGGACCTGTGGTCTTCATTCTTTATTTTAAATCTAAACTTGCCCTATTATGCTCATGCCTGCCTGCTTGTTATTAACTCATCATTTGAACTTAAAGATTATCGGTGCAAGTAGTCTTGTAAGAAAATGTTCCTACCAAGTGAGGCACTGAGTAAAGGGACGGCTGTACCCCTTGGGCGTGAAGAAGCCTTTGTGCTTTGCCTGGGCCTTGAGGACCAGGAAGGAGGAGGGAGTCCTGGAAGGCAGTCGTGCATGTCTGTGCTGTGCCCAAGGAGAGGGTGTGCGTGCAGGTGTGATAGAGAGAGGGTGGACGACTGAGCACAAGGATTCCCTTGCCTGCAGGTGGACTCCCCAGACCCACCTTATTCATTCCAAGGTAGAGAGCTGCCTTCGCCACTTTTTTCCCAGATCAGGAGATAGCCACTTTCTCAGAAAGGGCATCATTTACTTTCTAATTGAAAGGTCCCTAAAAAGTGACCAGTCTGTACTCTCTACTCTCCATCTTCAGAACACTACGTGCCTTCAGGCCGCCAGTCCTGCAGCCTCACACCTGCACTGAAGAAACATGAGATGAGATGTAGACAGCCTTCCAGGCTGATGGGTCAGGAGCTTTGAGGAGCATGGGACTTGTAAAATGGGGCCTTGAGCTAAGTGCAGGCCGCAGGAGGACCGTGTCATGGGGTGTGCTCAGGGCTGAGAAGTAAGAAAGGATAGCGTGAGACCCTAATAGCAGACCAGTTCCTGTCAGGTTCCTGTCAGCTTCCCTGTGGCCCATTTAGGAATCCTGTATCTGTCACCCTCAACCTGGTGTTCAGTGCTCTTGGGTCCCAACTATGCAGTTTAACCCTTTCCCATGCCCTGGCCCTTGGCCCTGGCGCCAACCCTCTGAGGTGCTCCAAGGCTGTGGCCAGCTTGGCACTGTGCCCCAGTGGGTGCCTGGAGGCCCACATACTGACCTCATGGAAGGTCTTGGGCAAGGGCATTTCCCTGTGGACAAGTGAAGGTGCTGTCACTTGTTCTGGTGACCATGCCATCTTCTGCTCACTCTGAGCCATGGTTGGCGAAGCCCAGGCTGCCCTCTGGTGTGCTGCTGGGATTTCTGTCTGTGTGGTGTCCTGGCTTCACATCTGCACTTATCCTTCTTCACCTCTGTCTTGTTGCTTGCCACAGTGTCCTGTCCTGTGAAGGTCACTCTAAGTCTGGTTTGTAATTTGATCTCTTAAGTGTCTCCAGTGGTAAGAGTTGGCGGGCAGGCCAGGCAGAGAGCTGTCACCAGGCCTGGAGCTGCCCTCCAGCTGCCCTCACCTATGGGGTGCAGGGCATACAGTGGCTCACTTCCTTTATCACACTAAGCTGTTGTGACAGAAGTAATACGAAAGGTCTGCCAACAAAGATCATTTATCAAAAGCACGTAGGAAGCTGCTCATATCTGATCTTGCAGATTTTACAGCCTTTCTAAGATTCCATGGGGTGGTGGTTGTGATGCCCCTTGGTGTTCATCTGGGTCCTGAAGATGTAAAGTTCCAGCAGTCGGGGAGTCTGACTGTTTCCTTCTTGTCTTGTGTGTTAGGATTTCTGGTTTGTAGATCATACTTTTTTTTTATTTAATATATCTTTATTGATTTCAGAGAGAGGAAAGGAGAGGGAGAGAGAGATATAGAAACATCAATGATGAGAGAGTCATTGATCAGCTGCCTCCTGCATGCTCCCAACTGGGGATCGAGCCCACAACTTTGGCATGTGCCCTGACTGGGAATCGAACCCCGATCGCCTGGATCCTAGGTCGACACTCAACCGCTGAGCCACGCCCAGCCGGGCTGTAGATCATACTTCTTAATGTACATGTTGGAAGCAAGTAAGAGTTGTTCTGTTTGTTTTTTTTAATATGACTTTTCCCAAGTCCTGGGCCACTCCCTTCTTTATTTTCTCCTGAATCTAGTTGAAAGAGTCTTAACCTTTTGTTGCCTCTAGTATTTTTTTAAACTAGTAACTAATTCTGTATTTGAGATTTTAATCCTATCTATACTGGTGACTTTTTCTTGCCAAGAACTCATTGGAGACCTCTGCATGTAGCTCCCGTCTGTTTATTCCTGGGATCACCTGCAGTTGAATGGTTAGGGTTTGTTATTTCCCAACTGTGTTTCCTTGGTGGTTTTCAGCCCTGGCCTTGGCGAGCACTGAGCTCTGCTTTCCTAGCATGCAAGGGTCTGCTTAGGCCTGGTTTCCCAAGGTGACATGGCCCCCCATCCTCCCCCTTGGTCAGAAATCGGGACAGCAGTGGCCCTGTTTATCAGTAAGGTAAGGAAGGTTTCTGTGTGTGCAGCAGAAGAACAAGACCGCAGTGCTGGGTGCCCCACCTCCATGTAGTGTGTGTTCCTATACCTGCTCCATGGCCCTCGTGTGGCCTGGGAGGGTCTGGGGCCTTGATAGCTCCCTGCAGAATCACTGTGTGTTCCATGCATCATGTTTGTCTTTACAAATCATTCTGGAGACTGTCACATTGTTCATCCCTTCAGGGACCACCTGAGCTTCTCTTTGGCTTCAGCCCCTGAGTGTCTTTCCCCTACATGTCACCTGGATGTATACCTCCACTGTCCCATCCCCACCTCGTGAATCCTGTCTGCATCTGCTTCAGTTGTGCAGCAGCTGTGGGTCCAGATGGGGCTGCCAGAGCTTGGGAAGGAAAGTGTCCTTCCTTCTGGCCTCAATGAGGAGTCTTGGGCTCCCCTCTGTGAGACGTCTTGTCTCACTCTCATCTGTTTTGTCTCAGGCTGTCCACCCAGCACCAAGTCCCACCTCTTGTGCCACCCCTTGTATCCCAGTCCCACTGTAGGCCCTGGGGTGCACTGCTAGTTTTGTCGCCACAGGCTAGTGATTTGGCCAGGTATAGTGTCACAGGTGTTCTGATAGACCACCCAGGCTGGGGCCGGTGGGGCGACTAGCACGCGGCCTCACTGAGAAACACCCTGAGCCATTTCGGACATCCAGGGCAGCACCTCAAGGTTACCATTCCTTCTGCTGTTGTGTTTGTCTGTCTCCCTTTCCCTTGAGAGTTTTCTAATCTTTGATTCCTTGAGGTCTTCTTGGGGCCCTGTTCAGTATCATTTTGTCATCCCAGTGGAAGGCTAGGCCTGTTCTACAACAGTGAGGCTGTGGCCTGAGACTACCAGTGCCCACGTGCCCTAGGATGGCCATAGGCGGCCTTCCCCTTGGTGTTTGCCAGGAGGCCCTGGACCCTTTGATTCCACCCACAGCTCACTCTTTCCGGCTTCAGGTGGGCAGGTGTCCCTTTTAATATATTGATTTTTGTGGTCTTTTATTTGTATTTAATACCAACTATTGCTTCCTCCCTCAGTTCCAGAAAATATAGAATATTGAAAGGAACTAAAAAGCACCCAATATTTCCACACCAAGAAAGTAATTTTTGTTAGCACTTTGGTGCACTTCCTTCCTTTATACGGTTTTATTGGGTACTTAGGAATCCTTTGTTTCTGCTTTTGTTTTCCACTTTTTTACTCAATCTTACAGCCTAACTATGTAGGAAATCCTTCATGTACAACTCCGTGGCTGCAGAGCACTCGAGCAGCCAGTCCCATACCGAGCTGTCAGACATTCGCCAGGCTGTGCTTTTAGAGCTATTCCTTTTTTTTTTTTTCAATATATCTTTATTGGTTTCAGAGAGAGAAAGGGAGAGAGAGAGATAGAAACATTAATGATGAGAGTCATTGATTGGCTGCCTCCTGCACAACCCCTGCTGGGGATCCAGGAGCCCGCAACCTGGGCATATGCCCTGACTGGGAATCGAACCGCAGTCTCTTGGATCCTAGGCCTATGCTCAACCGGTGAGCCACGCCCGGCTGAACTAGAGCTATTCTGAGCCATGCTTTGCCAAAAATCTTGGTGCTTTGGTCACTTTGCCAAAAATCTTGGTGATAGGTTCTCAGGGTGGATCAGAGGCACCTCTCCCAGGCCCACCCCTACCCTGTCACACCTGGGACCCTGGGAGGGACTGAATGCTTCCTGCTTCTTTTATAAGTGACAAATTGTACCCCTAACTTTGTATGTCTTGAGGTTGTTTAATATGCATGTGTGTTTATATGTGTCATTCCTGCATTCAGTGACTTTTTCAGCTTTTTAAAATTTGACAATCAGTGGAGCACTGATTGTCTTCTAGTGCTCCAAGGTGTAAGTGAGCACGCCACACTTCCCTGTCCTGCTGTGGGAGGAGCTGCCAGCCCAGCCTGTGCAGAAACCCTCGTTAAGCCCCTATCTTCTTAATATCACCCCTTTCTCTTCACTTTCTTAGCATCTTGTCCTAGACATTAAGATGAAGGTACATTTTAAACATCTGCTTTTGATATCTGTTTTAAAGAGAAAGGAGTTTTCTTCACAACTGGTTAAGATCTGGTGAGATGACAGAGCCCTGGCCCTTACTGGGTTGGGTGGCACTGCTGGCTCCTTCCTAGGCATCTCCCTGTGGGCAGCCGAGGCAATCCCACCCTTGTGCCATGGGTAGCCCTTGGACTAAGGGTATCTTTCTGCCCACGAGGGCTGGTAAGGTTTATTTCTCATCTTTCTCTGCCATCCGTCTGAATGGGTGTTGCTGGCCCCACAGCTGGCCTCTTGGCATGTCCTGGGGCCACCAGCCCAGCCTGGCCAGGCCCTCACCAGGGGCAGGTTTCACTTGCCTTCCTGAACACATGCACCAACTGAGTGCATGTGCTTGTTGGGACTGGTCTCAGGCTGACCCTGCAACTCCCTGGGGCTGGCCGCTACTTTCTGGTGAGTTTTGGATGGTGACTGGGTCATCAGAGAATGCAATTTTCCTGAAGCAGACAGAACATGACACTCAGAATTTCTTTGCGGGTCTCGAACAGAATGGAGACCAGGGGAGGAGTTAGTGTACTTTTGGGGGCTGAGTTTCTGGAAAGTTGCCTCAAATTAGGATTTCTGCATATTACCTTCTGTTTTTCCTTGAATTCTGATGGAATTGTAGTTCCATGGAAATGATCCTTGGCTGGTTGGTGCCCATGATTGAGTGTTGATGTGTGCCAGCACTTGGGAGACGGTGACACTAGCATGCCATTGACCTTGGCTTCCCCAAGTCTGGGCTGGGGCCCAAGCAGGTGACAAGTGTCCTAGGTGTTGAGAGGATCATGTGTTTTCTCTGAGCTGGGCAGGAGGTACCAGAGGGGCTATGGCCTGGGCAGAAGGTTCTGGTCTCCATGGATCTTTTTTTGCTGTCAGGCACATTTGGGTTTACAAAGCTGTACTTTCTGAGCCTCCTTAATCACTCACCCAGGTTGTAGGGCTCCCTGGGCCCCCATACCCTCCTCCTGTTGCTCATGGCTTTTCTCTGGGCCCAGTGCAGCTCCGACCTCAACCCTCTGCCTGACACTTCCTGTGTGCAGGACTGGTCTCTGAAGTCATCCGAATGGAGTGAGTCTGCCTGGTTACTGAGGCACCACAGTGTCTCCAGGTTATTTCTTGGGAGAATGGCTGCCTCGAAGGCTGTACTTATTTAAAAAGTTATTTTTTTTTTCAATCTTGTATATTTTATGAACATTATAAAAAATTGAAAAACCCAAATAAGCAGAACTTAAAAAAATTTTGTTGTCCCAGTTGTTGCTACCCAGAGAATGCTGTTAACTGTACTGAAGTCCTTTTAGACATTTTATACAAATGGAGTGTGCACATGCTACATTTAAACATTTTTATTTTACAGACTTTTAAGAATGAAGTGTAATAAGTGTACAGAAAAGTGCTAAGATCATAAGTGCACCTATAGTTTAGTTATTACAAAGTACATGGACCCGTAATCCCATGACCAGCCCATTCTGTAACCTTTCCCACCTGCCTGAGGGCTGATCACCTGTTTTGCTCATCACATAAATAGAAATGTACCTGTACATCATTCTTATACACACACACGCGCGTAATTATTTATTTCTAAAAATGAGTTCATTCTATAAGCCTTTTTCTATGACCTTTTTCATCTGTGCCTGTAAATACAGAGCTTCCTGTTTTTTTGTCAGTGATGGCACGGTATTCCACAGTCTAGAATGTGTCCCCCTGTATTTAACTACCTCACTATTATTATTTCTTTTATAAGAGAACATTTATTTGGTTAATCACAGAGGTAGAAAAAGTAATTCATTGAAGAAATGGATCTAGGAGACAAACTGTAGAGGCAAAAGAAGGGCCCTAGGAGCTTGGGAGTGAGGAGGTAATGGTAACCT